TGGATTACGTCGTCTTAAGTGTTTTATTTATGTCAGTGGTCGGCTTAATAGAAATATACTATCAAAATTAAATGGTGATATTAACTTTCCCGTTTTATTTTCGCCAATCCTAGAAAATATTACTGAAGGTATTTCTTTTCATCGGAAAGTTTGTGGGTAATTTATAATTTATTATTTCAATTTTGTTTATCTTCAAGTATTTAAATCGAATTTAATCATGCATGTTTTATATAATCATTCAGCTGTGAAGAATTTGAGTTCAGGTGTGAGTGAGATGTTTATAAGGCATCTTAGGTGTGAGGTGCCATACCCTGCTCATCTATTTTGGATTAAGAGTTTACTCATTCAATAATTACTAGAATTCCTAAGGATAAGAGAAATAAATGGTTTGAGGCTATTAGGAGACCATTATTGGATCTTAGCCACTCAGGAATTATTTGTTCGAACTTTTTCATACATACCAGACAGCTTCCTGATGCTTCCTGGCAAGTCCCAGACATTGAAACCATATGCATATTTGTCGTTTTTGAAATTGAGTTCTCAAATCTGAGTATTGAAAGCTATGCGACCTGAATACTGCATATTTCATTAATTTCTCACTACTTTATCTATGATTCAACAACCTTCCATAGTAAGTAGACCCCTATCCCAACCTTCTCCTTTCGTTACGCCTATGTTCCTCGAGTTCATGAGTGTTACATGACAGATCCTAAATGCGCATGAATCAGTTCGATCTCCAGACATCGAACTCAACTCAATGTAAACAACTCTCCAGAGTAGCTGACCTTTTTCCTTATAGGATTCTAGCGGTCTAGGTTAGTCTATAAGTCGGTGGCTGTTTGTCTTCTCTCCTGTGTTTGTTGATACTGTTGATAGTGAGATGTTTATAATTCCTATATAAACATCTCAGTTGATAGTTTATAATGGTTCTTGTTTTTATTTTATTGTTTTTTTCATATGCTTATTCCACTCACAATAATTAGTTTGCGAAAAACAGTTTTTATCGAAACTACATCTTCAATTCATTATTGTTGTGAAAGGGTAACACCAATAATTAACCTCTTATTTTTATTGTTCATGCCCTTATTTTCCTTTCAGAATTATCAACATGTCTTTTTTTTTCTGGTAGAATGGATGCCTTCTTACTGATGGCACATTCCCGAATAAGTCGTAGGTACTCGTATTCCTGAGGGAACGTTGACATATTCACTTCAAAGCTGCCGGAAACAATTTCATGATGCATTTCCAAATGCCATAATATGATATAATTTCCAATCACAGACTGCTTATTAGACCTACAGCGGTTTGAAGCAAAACACTGTATCTGCAAAGGAACATCATCTGGTAGACCAACTCTTCTTTCCGAAAGTGTTCTTCATGATATTGAGAATCCTATGGGGGAAAGTCCTAATAAGTCTGTCTCAAAGTTGTCGCAAGAAAAAGGTAGTAAACTAATTAGTAGGTGAAATTTGTAGTCACTGATGAGAGCATGGTCAGCACTGCCTATAGTGCCTTCATGGACCCACCTGCATTACGCTGCCTTATCAGAACTTAAAATCCTCTATATTGTTATTGACACCGTGGCGATATTTATGTATTCTCTCATCTTTCTTCCGCTGATTTTGCGGCCCCCTCACCCTTGCGCCCTTGGCGGGGACCTCTTTCGCCAACCAACCCCTATAAGATACGTCGCCGGAACTGAAACTACCTGATTTTGAATGGAGGATCCGATTTTGTCATTGGTTTGATGAACATTTGATTGATGATATGGTGGATATAACTTTTATCACTGATGATAAGGGTGTGTGGTTCCACAATTATCAGGGTACCTACATCAACAGTCAAAATTATTATACTTGGGCTACAGAAAATCCCCATAATTTCAGAGAGTCAAGTCTAAATCCTCTGAAAATTGGAGCTTGGATTGCAATTTCTAAAAGGAGAATTATAGGGCCAACTTTTTTTCAGGACACAGTGAATGCTAAAAGATATCAAAATATTGTGAGAGAACAAATGTGTCTGGATCTTCAGAACTTGTTTGTTTTTTGCTGATTATTTTAGAGATGTTCTTAGCAAGAGGTCGATGAAAAGTTATCACGCCTTTGACTCGAACTAGGAAAATATGCGGAACTTCAGAGGAAATTTGTTTAATACAAAGGTGTCTTGTTCAAAGGGCGGGGGTCAGATGAGCATACTTATACTTATTGTGTGTTCCCAAAAACTATTAGTTGACTTATTTGTGCAAGAGTTTCATGAGACCTTGGGACACTGACACTATGGAGTCTATAAGCTATGGGTAGCTATGCGAGCCGAAGTGTGGTGGACCAATATGTACAGGGAGATCAAAAGTAAGGTTCATTCTTGTGAAATATGCCAACGGACGAAATCCAGCCGGTTGCCTAAACCTCCACCGACGCAATAAATCGTTCCTGCGCATGAAAACGATATAATTTCCATGGATATTTTTGGTCCGCTGATCCAAAGTAGAGGTGGAGTGCGATTTCTGGTAGTAATTTATAACCTTTTCACCAAGTATGTGGCGCTCTATCCGGTGGAGAAGGCCTCGTCTCGAGCAATCCTGAATCGGACGGTTGGAGATTATTTCCCGAAATTTGATGAACCAGCGTCGTGGATCCTCCATGATAATGGTAGCCAGTTCACATCCCGTCTGTGGAAGAAGACTATGAAGGAAGCAGGTTTTCAACTCGTGCATAGTTCAGTGAGACATCCGTGTGCGAATCCCTCCGAACGAAGTTAGGTCATTTGTGTCGTACCTATGGTAGTGAGCAGCACTCTAGGTGGGCTGTCGAAGCACCCCGTTTCGCAGAATATTTGAACTCTCTCTTTCACGAATCCACTGGGTGGGTACACGCCGAATGAATTGCAACTAGGTCTCGACAGAGTGAAACTCCTTTCTGGAAATCTTCGTGGACCGCCACCGGATCCCGATCGCTTTTGTGATAGAAACGTCGAACTGGTCTTAGCGAAGGCTAGTCTGAGAGGAAAAGCTGCGTGTAGGGCCGTAAGAAATCCAGGAAGCCCCTGACTTCACTGTTGGTGACCTCGTGTTGCTGGGGGCGAACAATGCTTCTCCTCTCTTTCTTTCTGAGGGGCCTCATTGGTTGAAGAAGAAGGTCAGTGATTCCACCTTCGTTCTACAACATCTGGATAAAGAAAAAGACAGAAACTTTTCAAAAAACCAACTTGATCGAGTTCGATATGTCTGATCTTCCAATCTCGCTCAAGTTTTGGAGGCGCGTTGTGCCGGAGCCGTTATATAGTCAACCATATGTCTTCTTATAGGTTTTACTGGTGGCGTACCTACTCCTGTATCCAATCTATCATATATCTTCCATCCATATATACCGCAGAAAAGTTGGCGATCTTGCTCTGTTTTATAGATATTTTCATGGACGATGCTCTTCTGAAATATCCACAATTGTTCCCCCCTTGGCAGTCCCCGCGAGATTGACCCGTCGAGTTGAGGCCTCGCACCCCTTCGTGGTCACTTTGGAGACCTGCAGAACATCTCTTTCCAAAGACTCGTTCATCCAACTAACAGCAAGGCTCTGGAACACATTGCCAAGGGAGGTGTTCCCCGAGGCATATAACCTCCATGAATTCAAGAAGAACACCAATTCCTACTTTATTTCCCTTGGTTCTCACGATGTTCTCTGAACATTACATAATATCCCTTTTCGTGGGAACCAGAACATAAAAAAAATTAATAAACCGCAATTTGTTCTCGATACAAAAACTCCTCACGAGTGTTGGCGCGCTTGGCCTGAACAATAGATAAGAAAGGGATTTCAGTTTTTTCTATTTTCGAGCAGTCGATAGTATAGCTCGAAATTTTTTTCCAAGTGTTATGAAATCGTTCATATTTTTGAAACTGCATTGATAGTCGTGAGCCTTTTCGGCATGAATAAGTGATGCCATATTCGTGCTTTGTTGCTTGGGCATTGTTTTTTGTTGGTGAGTTTGTTTTTGAAATACTTTTGTGTACCATGTGAGTTTACCTGCATACTAAATAAGTATACGCTTCTCGTGCATGATAATCCGCTACCTCTCGAGTGAATTATTTGTTTTTGTAGTTGTAGCGAGAACTTGATGAACAAAACTCATTGTCAATCATCCAGCGAGTTGAAAAATCAGTCAACCCACCAAACCGAATTTTGCCCTGAGATTTTGCCTATCTGCACAATGGAGACACTGAAAACTTGGATTGCACAGATTTTATAGGTATACCTATATCGACGCCAAAGAATGCATGCTGAAGCCAATTTATTTTACCGCCCATGGGACTTAATTTTTTTTTCTCCCGTGAGAGTGAATTGACAACTTTGTCTTCTCCAGTGAGGAAGCAAACGCGTAGAGCAGATAGACATATTTTAAATACTGTCTGTTTGTTAACTGAGAGGGTATGGATGTTCTCCGGATTTTCTGTGATTTTCTCTCATAGTTTCATTAAATGAAAATACCTAGACGTTGAAGATTATGTCAATTATACTGGTTGATTGATTATTGGTGATGATTTTTACATATCGAGCAAGGAATACTGACTCGATTTCATTAATATAGCAAATGAAGTCATGTACTTATTCCCTAATTCACTCAATTTTTCCAGCTCATCCCAACAACAACTCACTCATAACATCATATACTTACTTATGAATTTTCAAATTGGTGAAGGTACCTACCAATTTTTATATTTTAGGAAAATTTTTCATATGCTTACTTATATTCTGGTATATTTTATGTTTATATACAGGGTATTTTGTAATATGTGGGACGCACTTCGAGAGAAGAAAATAAAAAAGTAGCCATAAACATATGAGTCGTAGCGGAACGTAAAAAGCAAAACGTAAAAAGTTTGGTTGTGAACGCCACTTAAGGTGATAAAGATCACTGACATCTCAAAAATAAAGGAAGAAGAACCGCCAAAATTAACTGTCAATATGGTCAAATGTCAATTTGAATTTTAACCTACCTTTTGTGTTATTGTTTGAAATTTCGCTCGATTTTCAATTTGATAACTATTTCATTTCAGGGTTTTTAGGTGAATGGGTTGTCTTCTTTCGAATAAATTAGTCTGGTGAACTTCTGCTGTAGCAAGTATAGTTATCGTGACTATTACCAAATATTCATATATCAAATATGAGAGGAAAAGAACCTGTAAATAAAAGAAAATCAGTAGTTCAAGATGATGACTCTGAGGAAGAATTGATTTGTTCTGATGATGAAGGAACTTTCGTTGATGGAATTCGAATTCCACCTGCTACAAAACCCATTTGTTCATTTGATCCTTCTGGCCCTCGCCTCATCATCACAAAAATAGTCAACAACTTTTTCAAGAGCTATGCTGATGAACAAATACTAGGCCCTTTCCACAAGGTATCCTGCCTTCCAATAGTTGATTGAATTGTAGACAATATTCAATTGGCCCATTGAATTGTTATTTTGCTTTCCAGTGTTTCAATGCCATAGTTGGGCCAAATGGAAGTGGAAAAAGTAATGTGATTGATTCCATGCTTTTTGTGTTTGGATATCGTGCTACTAAAATAAGATCCAAAAAAGTGTCTGTCTTGCTGCATAATTCTGACAAATTCAGAAATGTTCAGTCATGTATGGTGTCAGTTCACTTCTCAGTGATTGTTGATAAGGTATGTGAAAGTACAGGACACTAATTTTTTTTCCATAAATCTTTTTTCATTATTTTTCTGATATCAACATTAGCAATATTCCACTAGTTGGCATCACTAGAACATGTCTCCTCCATTAGTTCATTCCATTGTAGAGTGATGTCTGCCTCATTGATGCAGAGATCTATTTCAAGCTGCAATAGCATGCTACTATAAAAAACATGGCTGACACTGCCAACAGTGCCAACTGCCATATCTGGGTGGGTGCCCTCACAATATGTTCCCATTTCGAGATTTTTGAGTAGTTCATGGCTATTTTGATCAATTATTGTAGTATAGTAATAAGCTTGTTGTGCAAAAATATATTCACTGGTAATTGTCTTTTGATTCCCTTTCATCATAACTTGTCTGCTAGTCTTTGATTTACCACTATGTAGTTAACTGGTATTGCAAATTCCCCTTTTTACTGACCTGGAATATCTGAAAATAAATACCAGGAAATTTCAGATTCCTCAAGTGATAGCTATCAAGGAACCAGCACAAAAATCACTATTCTCTTGGTCCATCCATATTTTCATGTCCTAACTGGCAATGAAATGATAATGACCATTTTAGGATTATGTGCCATAAAAATGAACATGTTATGCATTTGTTTTTTGGATGCATGATAAATTGATATTCATCATACAGGATGTGGAAAGAATTTATCAATTAAGAAAACCTAATCACAAATCTGCCATTGAAGATCTATAAAAATAACAAGTGTCCATAGTTCAAGTTTGAACCCCTTGATTGGAATATTCTCAGATATAATTATGAAAATAAAAAATGGATATATACAGGGTGTTTCATAATTGAATGCTGATCCTAAAGGGCGATAATCCTTGGATGATTTTAAGAAAAATTCTTCATGTGAACATAGGTCCGTAACTGCTTCGTTTCTGAGATACAGGATGTTGAAATTTAACAAAAAAATCAGTTATTCCCCAATATCTCTGGAACCGCTCTGGCTTTTTTCTTCAATTTTGGTACATGCCGAGTATGAATAGAAATACATTTTTTCCATAATGAAGGATTTCTTAATTTCCATCAGTGACGTCCCTGTTAACATACCCTGTCATATTTTTCATCAAAATAATGATACGCCACTGTTTTTTTCCCAAATGAATATTATTTTTGTAATTATCCTCTATCTTCTCATAAAAATGGTCTCTTGTCTTTTTTTCGTCCAGCAAACGGTTTTTGAGTTAGAAAATAAAATGCATTCATTTGCTTGTCCCTATCCGATTTTTACTCTTAGTCATAATTTCACAATTGTGGTAACCAAAAGATCTGAGCAATATTTTCATAATTTTATGGTAACTATTTTTAAGTATTTTTAATGAAGAAAAAAGCCAGAGCGGTTTCAGAGATATTGGGGAATAACTGATTTTTTTGTTAAATTTCAACATCCTGTATCTCAGAAACGAAGCTGTTACGGACCTATGTTCGCATGAAGAATTTTTCTTAAAATCATCCAAGGATTATCACCCTTTAGGATCAGCATTCAATTATGAAACACCCTGTATATATATACAGGGTGTCCGCTAAAAGGAGGTCAATCCATTAACCATATATTCCTTGAACAAAAACAATATGAGTTTCTGAATACCATTTTCCATTTAAGCCCTTCATATTCGATATACAGGGTGTCAAAGTTGGAAATTATAAACTGTTTTTTTCTAATTACTCGCGTATTTGATGAGATATCATTCTCAAAATTGGTACATTACTTCAGCACAAAGAGTTACATCGTGTGAGGAAAACAAAACAGAAAATAACTGTCAAATATTCAAAATACAGGGGGTCAAGTACACACTTACCCCCATATTTTTTTTGTACGTGCGCAAATGACTTCCTTTCTATATTTATTCAAGTGTTCAATCATTTTTGAGTATTGTTTGTGTCTTGTGAAATTTCGATAAAATCATTTGTTTTTTAGATAATTCGAAAAGTACTGGTTATTGTTTGATGCTTATGCGGCTGACGGTAATCTCATAATGTTCACATATTCCCATTTACTTCGTCGAAATTGGAAGAGGGCGTAACTTTTTACGTACGAAAATGTAATATGGAAATACCGGGTGTTCAGAGCGAATGTATTAAAATAATTTTTACGGAAAACAATTGATAGAAATTCAACACGTCTAAATGAATTGCTCAATATGAATTTTTTGAGTACACATGCGAGCCCTTTTAATTGAAGAAAATCTTAGCCTTTGAAAAATATGTGGCTTATGCACAAAATCTTTCATACATCCATAGACAATCCTGACCTGCAATTTCTTTCATCAAGTAGCTATTAAAATCATGAATATCATAATTTCACCAAAAATGTCCGAAAATATTTTTTTTTAAATTTTTTTCCGATTTTATATCCCGTTCGTTCGCGCCCGACATACCATACGATGTGGAAGAGGCTCGATAATATTTTTAAGAAATTCCGCACCACCAAAAACCGCTCAAACCGATTTTAAAAATTTGCTGTTCTCGAAAAAAATCAATTTAATAATCCTTTAGAAGGGTGGGCTCGTTAATCGACCCCCCCCCCCCCCCCCCATCCTCCTAAAATCATTCTTCACTCGAAATTCCAAAACACTTTTTTTTCATTTGACCCCCTAAAAAAATTTCACGCCGTTCGATTGGCAAAAAAATGTTTTTCGACACGTGTCCTCACTGTTTTTCATTTTTTTTTGTGAAAATAATTTTGATACATTCGCTCTGAGCATCCGGTATTTCAATATTTACCTATTCGTACGTGAAAAAATACGACCTCTTCCAATTTCGACGAAATAAATAGAAGTATGTGAACATTATGAGATTAAAGTAAGCCGCATAGGCATCAAACAATAACCAGTACTTTTCGAATTATCTTATAAACAAATAGTTTTATCGAAATTTTACAAGAGACAAAAAATACTCAAAAATGATTGAACACTTGAAGAAAAATAGAAAGGAAGTCATTAGCGCACGTACAAAAAAAATATGGGGGTAAGTGTGTACTTGACCCCCAGTATTTTGAATATTTGACAGTTATTTTCTGTTTTGTTTTCCTCACACGATGTAACTCTTTGTGCTGAAGTAATGTACCAATTTTGAGATTAATATCTTATCAAATACGCCAGTAATTAGAAAAAACCAGATTTTAATTTCCAACTTTGTCACCCTGTATATCGAATATGAAGGGCTAAAATGGAAAATGGTATTTAGAAACTCATATTGTTTTTGTTCAAGGAATATATGGTTAATGGATTGACCTCCTTTTAGCGGACACCCTGTATATATATTTATCATAATACATCATCTTAATCTCTCCAATGTTAGAGATAATGTCAATTCTCAATTTCAGAGGATTGTCATTATTTGTGCTCTCTTTTTGGATGTTCAACAGATATAATTCAAATAGCAAATAGCCAGGAAAGTAGTTGTTTTCTGTTGAATATTCAGAATGATATTATGTGCATATACATATCTTTATATGAAGGAGAATGCAAATTCTCTACTTCAGCAGATTTTGTTTTTAAATTCTTATCTTCAAATTCTTATCCTTTTCATGTTATGCATGTTGAATTATATTTCCTTGTTTTATATTCATTCAGATTTAATTTTTCATGAGTTTCCCTTTTTTGATCTCAATCTTATTCTTAAGAAAATGGTTTCATCCACTAAGTGCAATAACAGGTATGTCCAATAAATGTCAATTCCTCCTGAATTTCATTGTTCCTTCATTTGGAATAATATTCCTGATATGAAATTACATTCTTGAAACAACTTTGGTATCTAAACATCCCTAAACATCCCGCCAGGTTTTTGGTTGCTCCTATAAAATTCTTGGACAGTAGATACATGTTATTGCATTTCCACCGTCCATATAAGGAATCAATGTCAATAATGACATTTTCTAGCCCACAAATGATGATGACAGTAACATCATGTCTTACTTATATGTGCAAGGTGTTCAATAAACCATGGATCATACTCTAGCTGGTGATAAATAATTTTATAACCAATCAGAAAACCACAACTTGACCTCAGTAAAACTTCATGGTTTTCCAGTTATTAGAACTTTTATATATAAAAAATAATTTAAATCTCAGATCAGTATTTCATGTTTCAAGCAAATAGAAGGAGCATTTTATGTTAATTCTCATTTCATTTCATAATTGAAATCAGGTAGGATCCAAATCAGAGGATATTTTTTTTGTATACTATAAATGACTGCTATGGCAAATCTGCCTTCTTTGATTGTTACAACAACTATTCAGTAATATTTATCAAAAATAAAAATTAATATGAAACAGTGGCGTAACTAGGAATCATCCCTGGGGGGAGGGTTGGGTGGGGGTGGGGGGGGGTGGGTCCAGGTCTAATTTCCAATATTCATAAAATGAAAAGCAATACATAGCTTAAATTGATTTTAATGAATGTGTGCATCATTTGGTAACAATAACTATAATATATATAATGAATATAAATCAAATAATATCACATATTAACAGGTACAAACATTGAAAAAGGAACAAAAAAAAAAACAAAATAAGGAAAATTGGAAATTGAACTAATTCAAACCTCTGATATTCATTCAGAGAATCTAACCAATTACAAATTGAATTCCTGTGATATTTCCTATACTCATGTCTATTTTTCCATTATTAGGATTGTTTACCAGTTCATTTTGGTTTTTCAGACAGCTGGGGCAGGGGGGGGGGGGGCGGGGGTCCAGACCCCATGGACCCCCCTTAATTATGCCACTGACATGAAATGTTGCTTGTAACCTCACTTGGAACATGAAAGAGTTATCTGAGATAGGAATTCCTTTTTTTGTATAAAAGTTCTAATATCTCAAGAACCCTTAGGTTTTCACTGAGGTCAAGTTGTGGCTTTAGTTGTAGTTTTCTGATAGGTTATGAACTTGTTCATCACGAGCTCAGAGTATGATCCATGGTTTAAATGTGATCTATTGTAGAAGTATTTGAAAAGTA